AGCAACGCCAACAGTAGGCCCTACTCTGGGGCGATAACGAGATAATGCGAGTTTAATTAAGCAATTTTAGGTGATTTAAGCAAAATCTGCAATTTAAGCAATGCGAGTTTGAGCGATATAGGGCAATGTAAGAAAACAATTAAAATTTTAGGGAATGCTGTTTTAGGTGTTTAGAGGTAATTTCAGGAATATACAACTATATCCCTGATGACTCCAATGAAATTACCATTAACCTATGCCAAGCATCCAAACATGAGTGTTCTCACAAACACACACACATGCAGTGTACGAAGCAAAATATACAATTTAACAAAAAAAGTTGGGATGTCTGCTTGAGGGGGTTTTGGAAACAAACAATACACTGTATGCGCATGACGATCAAGTGTTTAAAGGGTGAATAAGCTCAATATTCATGACTTTTTTCATCCATTGTCTATTTCGAAGCCATTGGGGTATTATTAAATTCATGACACAACTATAATACATGACCACATGTTCACATCATATGCAACTGCAAACAATTTTCAAAGGAGTAGGGTACAGAATTGCAATATAAGGCCAATGAAAATTGATATCATGTTTCTCGTCCATAATTTTCAAAAATTTGGAGCGGGATTCTTTCATTTTTCATTTTTCATTATTTTTTGTATTTGAATTCTGCTTGTCAATAATTTCCTTGACCCAGTAAAAACACCCATAAAAATCTGGTGTATAATTCATTTTAATTTAATACGTCCTACACTACAGTCTACAGACTACAGTATATTTCTTTACATACCAGGGCTGACATGAAAAATAGAGGCATTCTGGCGAGTAATATCTTTAGAAAGATACAATTTGAGTTGCGCTTGCGAAATGCAGCAATAAGACTTTGATCTGGAGATGAATTAGGTGTTTTTTAAGCTTATTTTTCAAAAATAATGAATAATGAAAAATTTTCGTGCGGCAGATAAATCCCATGCGGGCGGGGACGAGAAACATGATATCAATTTTCATTGGCCTAACAACATATAAGTAAATTATACATGTCATGAACTTACCAGTTTGTGTTGAGTTAAATTAAATTTTTTTTATGACATCAAATATTATTTATTTATTTGCAAATCAAAACATTTTAAAATTCTCGTATTTTGTTTTGTATTGCGCCCGCGATATATTAATGGTATTAACCGCTGTGAATATGATATACATTTTTAATACATTATATTTGCGCTCAAAAGTTCAGGAAGTAAGTTTCTAGAAAGGATGAAAACTCCGTTTTATATATGGTATGTAAAAGGTAATCATTGTTTACTGTTTACTGTATTTTGTATTCAGGTATGGGGAATTTAAGCGATGAGAGTTGCAAAACTTGCAAATGTAGTCTGACTAGTTTCTTTGACGTCATCATGCAACTATTTAATATTGTGCTACATTCATTATTCAATTTACAGTATTCGCAGCAATTGAATTAGCCTTCTATAACCATACAAATGATTATAGCTTATAGCCCACCTTGCCTTTAACATTGATCCTATATATGAATTAACATTACTAACTTGATTATGTTGCTAGTCGAGTATGGGACCTATGGGTCTTCTAGATCCTAGAGTAGCACAATTAATATAAAGTCTCCGTATAGGTGGTAATATTAAAGACTGTTCTTATTTATGCATGACCTTCGGCTATTAAGTGGCCAAAAATTGTGCCTACAGTAGTAAACTTATTCCACTATCCAGGTTGCATCACTTTTGATTGCAAAACACCCGGGTTTATTATACATGGATTTGCTAGCAAAATAGCAGCAATTGATGAACTTGGTGTTATACTAAGATTTACTAAATGTGTAAAGAAACAACGAAAAGTATATATCAATCAGAGTCACTATCTTGATCAATTTCCGATGGGATCTCCAAAGAAAGTAGCTACATGTGCAGACAACATGAAACTTCAGACTGCAGAAAAGTTCACAATCCGTTATCAAACTTATGTCACAGAAGTGGTAAAGGACATATGTGACAACTGAATGGTACCTAATAATAGGTTTTGTTTGTGGAAACACCACGTAAATTTATTACCGCAAAGCTTTCGATCCGTAAGCCCGGATCTTCATCAGTGCTAATAATATGTGACTTGTTTAATTCACACGCTCTTTTATATACAAAAGTGTCGTGATCTGTTGGCTCGCGTCATTTGAAATTTAATTAAACGGCACATCAACCACGTCATTCCAAACGTAGTGAAGTGATTCCAATTAACGCGCGCGCATCCAAGACAAGATAAATTAATTTTGCACATTAAAGAGAGCACGCCACGTACTATCTAGTGGCTTTCCCTCCTGATCTATAGTATTGTGCTTCTCAATTTCAATTGACTCTCTCATTTTCATTTGAATGGTACGGAAGCCCAGAAGTGTAATTGCTATTTCCTATTTCCGTGTTGAAAAAGTGGGTTCGCTGGCGACTATTTGGTTCGCTGGCGCCCTATTTCCTATACCTATTACCTATTACCGTGTTTGCTATTGCTGTGTTCGCTCTCGCGCTATTTCCTATTACCTATTACCGTGTTTGCTATTGCTGTGTTCGCTCGCGCGCTATTTCCTATTACCTATTACCGAGTTTGCTATTGCTGTGTTCCCTATTACCTATTACCTATTACCGAGTTTCCTATTACCGTGTTTCCTATTACCGTGTTTCCTATTACCGTGTTTCCTATTACCTATTACCTATTACCTATTACCGTGTTTCCTATTTCCTATTACCGTGTTTCCTATTTCCTATTACCTATTACCGTGTTTGCTATTGCTGTGTTCGCTCGCGGGTTATTTCCTATTACCTATTACCGTGTTTGCTATTGCTGTGTTTCCTATTTCCGGTATAAATTTACTATAAATATTATAGTATATCAATACTCTATATATCAAAGTCAGGTCTCTTTTAGTCGAAGCAAGGAAAGATTACGATAAATTTGTGCTTTTGGACGAGATTAATGTCTGTATTTCCCTTCAACACAGTCTTAATATTGTTACTAAAAATCTAAAACCTTAGTTTAAATTATAACTAATTGAAGAACGCCAATTTTCAATTTTTATTTGTAAATAGTAGGATTTTTATAATCAGTTATAACTAAGGTTTTCGATTTTTTAGTCACAATATTCACTACTGTGTTGAAAGAGAAATATAGATATTAATCTTTCCTTGCTTTGACTAACGGTCAGTATAATCTGCAGACTGCAGACCAAGTACAAAATGCAGAATAGGTATAAATTGCAGACTGAGTAAATTACAGACTTGGACCTTGGTATAAAATACAGACTGAGTGAAAAAAAACGTACAAAACTACACGTTATATACACCCGTTTTCAAAATTATGCGACTTACCAAAATATAATCTAAGACTCGAATGTCAGTTTTATGTCACGAGAGTTGTGGGAACTGCTAACTATAGCAAACATAAGCAACATTAAGACATTTTAAATCGTACTTAATAGACTTAATACCTAAAGAGTAAAGAAAAATATTGAACTAAAATGAGCTAGCGCTAGATACACAAACTAAAAGAAACAACAAACCATCTCAAAAATAAATTTGTGTAGTGAATGACTTTTAAGTTAGAGAAAAAACAAATTGTGTATTAAACCCGCTTACGCCTGACTATAGCAGTAATATTATGATTTTGTTGTGCTTAAATTTCGCAATAATTTTCACTAAAATATCTTGAAAATCATTCTAAATATTTTTATATAAAGTGTCAAAGCTTATACATTAACATGCATCTACAATGAACCGCAAAACTCGAAGTTGCCAGTAATTTGAACTTCATGACAGTATGACATATTAAAATATATGTTTTTTCACTCAGTCTGTATTTTATACCAAGTCTGTAATTTCAGTCTGCAATCTATACCTATTCTGCATTTTGTACTTGGTCTGCAGTCTGCAGATTATACTGACCGTTAGTCAAAGCAAGGAAAGATTAATACCTATATTTCACTTTCAACACAGTAGTGAATATTGGGACTAAAAAAAATCGAAAACCTTAGTTAAAACTGATTAAAATCCTACTATTTACAAATAAAAATTGAAAATTGGCGTTCTTATTTATAATTTAAACTAAGGTTTTAGATTTTTAGTAACAATATTAAGACTGTGTTGAAGAGAAATACAGACATTAATCTCGTCAAAAGCACAAATTTATCGTAATCTTTCCTTGCTTCGACTAAAAGAGACCTGACTTTGATATATAGAGTATTGATATACTATAATATTTATAGTGAATTTATACCGGAAATAGGAAACACAGCAATAGCAAACACGGTAATAGGTAATAGGAAATAGGAAACACGGTAATAGGTAATAGGAAACACGGTAATAGGAAATAGGAAACACGGTAATAGGAAACACAGTAATAGGTAATAGGTAATAGGAAACACGGTAATAGGAAACACGGTAATAGGAAACACGGTAATAGGAAACTCGGTAATAGGTAATAGGGAACACAGCAATAGCAAACTCGGTAATAGGTAATAGGAAATAGCGCGCGAGCGAACACAGCAATAGCAAACACGGTAATAGGTAATAGGTAATAGGTAATAGGAAATAGCGCGCGAGCGAACACGGCAATAGCAAACACGGTAATAGGTAATAGGAAATAGCCCGCCAGCGAACCAAATAGTCGCCAGCGAACCCACTTTTTCAACACGGAAATAGGAAATAGCAATTACACTTCTGGGCTTCCGTAGAATGGTACCTTTTGTAAATTTTTTGGCCAGGGGTGGGTATTTATTTCTTAATTGATATTTGAGGTTGGGTAATCATTTTTTTTACTTTTTAATGGTTGGGTCAGCAAAATTTTTGCTACGAAAAACATTTCTCTTCGGTGCCACCCCCCGCCATAAATAATGACCGGTCCCTTATCTATCTGTGCGTAGTTACGCTCCGCCTTCGACAGGGATCTCGATGCAAAGGCTATTGGTCGCTCTGTGCCGTCTGCCATGACATGGGACAGTATCGCTCTAATTCCTACAGGTGAAGCATCACAAGCCAGTTGTAAGGGAAGGTTATAGGATCATAATGTGTAAGCACCAGATCTGAAACAATCATTGCTTTAACTTTGCAAAAGGCTTCTTCGTATTGATCTGTCCAGTTCCATTGGTAGTTACTTTCCAGCATTTGGTTCAAAGGATGCAGGATTGTAGCAAGGTTTGGCAGGAATTTGTGGTAATAATTCACCAATCCCAGGAAGGAGCGTACCTCTGCAACACTCTGGGGGCGAGGGGCATTCACCATTGCAGCTGTCTTGTCGGTGGTCTTGTGCAGGCCTTCACTATTAATGTCGTGGCCAAAGAACGTGATCTTTTCTTTGAAGAACTCACACTTGGATTTATTGGCTCTTAACCCATGGTGGTGCAGCCGTCGAAGGACCTCCTGCAGGTTAGCCATATGCTCTGCGTCGCCTTTACCCGTCACAATCATATCATCTAGGATACAACTAATACCAGAAGTTCCTTCCAGAATCTGATCCATGGTACGCTACCAAATGGCGGGAGCCGAGGTAATACCAAACACCAATCGATTGTATTGAAACAAGCCCATGGACGTATTCATTGTAAGGTACTTCTTGGATTCTTCCTCCAACTCAATCTGATGGTAAGATTGGCGGAGGTCGATCTTGGAAAACTTTTCCCCACCAGCTAAATGGGCAAAAATATTTTCGATTCGAGGCAGAAGATACTGTTCTGCTTGTAATGTTCTGCTTGTAATGTTGCTTGTAATACCTTTTGAAGTCACCACAAATACGGACTGAACCATCTTGCTGCGGCACTGGTACAATCGGTGTCGCCCAATCACTCCACTTTACTTTCGACAAAATACCTTCGTTCTGAAGTCTCTTCCTCCACTTTCGGTCGTAAGGAATATGGGACTGACGAGCTTTGCGAAACTGTGGTTGACTACCTTATTTGAGGGTTATCCTTGCTTTGGCAGATTTGAAAGTTCCCAGCTTGTCTTCAAAAACCTCTGCATACGTATCCAATAGGTTTTTCAGCTTCTCTTGTGTAGCCGTGTCAGGGTTTCTATGGCTGCGATCTGAGGATTTCAAAAACTTAATGGTTTTCCAGTTGAGGCGAAGCTTGTGAAGCCAATCTCGACCCATTAACACTGGACCCTTAGTCTGGACTACATGGAATGGCAATAGACATGATTGATCTATGTATTCAACTTGCACGGTAAGGCAACCAACTGGAACGATCAGTTCACCAGTATAGGTCTTTAGTACAGTGGTTGTTTTCTCTAACTCCTTGTCGCGAAATCTTTCCAAGAACATGTCATATGGCAAAATGGACACGGCCGATCCTGTGTCTAGTTCCATGGATAGTGGTTGATTTTCAACTTTCACGTCAACCCATATGACATCACGGCTTGATTTGTTTACATTATTAACTTCTAGGTTATTCAACAAGTGCCCATACTCATCTAGTTCGGTCTCTATGGCAAGGGTCGATTTCTGGTATCTTGATCTGGGCGAGGGTCTACCGGGCCCCTGGCTTTGTTGTGCCCGGCAAGCTCTTTGAATATGACTTCTCTTTCCACACTTGTGACAGACTTCTTTCTTAAATCTACACTCAGTTGCAACATTGGGTATTAGCTCCACATCGATAACACACTACAGGGGAGGGTGGGCCACTATCTGATATATTCGAGGCCACTATCTGATATATTCGTTCAGTGTCAGTTTGTCAAGACCAAGAGGTTTTTCTTCTCTACACTCGCTGTGGATCTCGAGTGGCTGTTTCCATAGCAACTGCTATGTCAACAGCTTTGGAGAATTTTAATTTCGACTCTGCAAAGAGACGTTTCTGAATTCGCTGATTACATAATCCACACACCAATCTGTCGCGCAAGGTTTCTTCCAAGTTACTTCCAAAATTGCAATGTGTGGTTAATTTCTTTAACTCAGCTACATAACTTAAAATGCTCTCCCCTTGTTGCTGATTTCTCTTATAAAAACGAAACCGTTCGGCTATTTCTAGTGGTTTGGGATTTAAATGCTTCTTTAATGTACTTACTATTTCATCTAAGTTCTTGTCTGCTGGCTTTTCTGGCAAAAGTAAATCCTTTAATAATGAATACGTTTTGCTTCCAATCAAACTCAGCAGAGTTGGCACTTGATGATTGTCGTCGACATCGTTTGCAGCGAAAAAATGTTGTACTCGTTCAACATACCTCTCCCAGCTTTCTTGGATTTCATCAAAAACATAAATTTTTCCAATCGTCGCCATTTCTGGACTTATAACAATCCCAAATTCGTCGCCACTGTCGTGTATTTAGATTATACTTATAGCAAAATATGAATAATACATAAGCATGGCCGATCTACATATCTAATGCGCATGTCCGTGCGTATGACCGCTGTCCGTCTATATAGATCTATATATCTAACACCATGCATGCATGCAGTTATGATGCACTGTACAGTCAGAAAATATGATTCGATGAAGCGAAGGGCATGACAATGTTGATCAAAGTCTCGAAAATAAGCCATAATTACAACATTGTTGAACACTTTTAAAAATAGAATATGAATTTAATAAACAGTTTAAAATAATCAACGACAAATGGACAACACTCGTTCCGTTGCCCTCAGGGCGACAGAGAAAAAACTTAAGTAATTTATATGTTTGTGTTGTTACTCTGAGTGTATATCCACACCGGGCAAGCTTGAAAAATATGCCCGGCCACGGTGGGAATCGAACCTACGACCTTTGGAATATTAGCCCAGTGCTCTGCCAACTGAGCTACGTGGTCAGGTCGGTTCGAGTACGCCGGTCAGGTCGGTTCGGCAAGTACAATTTGTTGCTGCGTGTCGAAAGAATATTTTTCAAACGTACTGCATGTTATCAATAAAGGCCCATTTCCACTCAGGAAAATTTTCCACAGAAAGAAAATTTTGTAAAATGTGGTTGGCCGACACAAATTTTACATTGGAAAAAATTGTAAAGTTGAATGATGGTAAATGATACTAAATGATACTGAATGATGCTAAATGATGGTGAATGATACTGGATGATGTTGAAAGATGGTAAATGATGTTGAATGATACTGAGTGATGCTGAATGATACTGAATGATACTGAATGATGGTAAATGACTTTAAATGATTGCGAATGATGTTAAATGATGCTGAAGGATACTGACTGATGTTCAATGATGGTTAATTATGTTAATTTAAATGATGCTGAATGATGGTGAATGATACTGAATGGTGGTGAATGATACTGAATGATGCTGAATGATACTGAATGATGTTCAATGATGTTAATTATGCTAAATGATGGTGAATGATACTGAATGATGTTGAATTATACTGAATGATGCTGAATGATACTGGATAATACTGAATGATACTGAATGATGCTAAATGATGGTGAATGATACTGGATGATGTTGAATGATGCTAAATGATGGTGAATGATAGTGAATGATGTTCAATGACGCTGAATGTTGCTGAACGATACTGAATGACGCTGAATGATACTGAATGACGCCGAATGATACTGAATGATGTTGAATGATGGTAAATGATGGCAAATGATGCTGAATGATACTGAATGATGCTGAATGATAATGAATGATACTGAATGTTGCTGAATGATACTGAATGATAGTGAATGATGCTGGATGACGCTGAATGATACTGAATGTCAATGATGCTAAATGATGGTGAATGATGCTAAATGACGATAAATGTTACTGAATGATGTTGAATAATACTGAATGATGCTGAATGATACTGAATGATGCTGAATGATACTGAATGATGCTGAATGATACGGAATGACGCTGAATGATACTGAATGACGGTGAATGATACTGAATGATGTTGAATGATAGTAAATGATGGTAAATGATGCTGAATGATACTGAATGATGCTGAATGATACTGAATGATACTGGATGATGCTAAATGATGGTGAATAATGCTAAATGATGTTGAATGATACTGAATGATGTTGAATGATACTGAATGATGCTGAATGATACTGGATGATGCTGAATGATACTGAATGATGCTGAATGATACTGAATGATGTTGAATGATGGTAAATGATGCCAAATGATGGTGAATGGCGTTAAATGATGGTGAATGATACTGGATGACGCTGAATGATGCTAAATGATGTTGAACGATACGCAGTGATGCTGAATGATACTGAATGATACTGAATGATGGTAAATGACTTTAAATGATGGTGAATGATGTTAAATGATGCTGAATGATACTGAATGATGTTGAATGATGGTGAATTATGTTAAATGATTCTGAATGATGATGAATGATACTGAATGATGGTGAATGATACTGAATGATGCTGAATGATACTCAATGATGTTGAATGATGTTGAATTATGCTAAACGATGGTGAATGATACTGCATGATGTTGAATTATACTGAATAATGCTGAATGATACTGGATGATGCTGAATCATACTGAATGATGCTGAAGGATACTGGATAATACTGAATGTTACTGAATTATGCTAAATGATGGTGAATGATGCTGGATGATTTTGAATGATCCTAAATGATACTGGATGATACTGAGTGATGTTCAATGATACTGAATGATGCTGAATGGTACTGAATGACGCTTAATGATACTGAATGACGCTGAATGATACTGAATGATGTTGAATGATAGCAAATGATGGTAAGTGATGCTGAATGATACTGAATGATGCTGAATGATACTGAATGATACTGAATGATGCTGAATGATGCTGAATGATAATGAATGATGCTGAATGACGGTGAATGATACTGAATGATGGTAAATGATGCTAAATGATGGGGAATAATGCTAAATGATGGTGAATGATACTGAATGATGTTGAATGATACTGAATGATGCTGAATGATGCTGGATGATGCTGAATGATAGTGAATGATGCTAAATGATACTGAATGATGTTGAATGATGGTAAATTATCGAAAATGATGGTGAATGACGTTAAATGATGGTGAATGATACTGAATGACGCTGAATGATATTGAATGATGTTGAATGATGGTAAATGATCGTAAATGATGCTGAATGATACTGAATGATGCTAAATGATGGTGAATGATACTGGATGATGTTGAAAGATGGTAAATGATGTTGAATGATACTGAGTGATGCTGAATGATACCGAATGATATTGAATGATGGTAAATGACTTTAAATGATGGTGAATGATGTTAAATGATGCTGAGGGATACTGAATGATGTTCAATGATGGTTAATTATGTTAAATGATGCTGAATGATGCTGAATGATACTGAATGGTGGTGAATGATACTGAATGATGCTGAATGATACTGAATGATGTTGAATGATGTTAATTATGCTAAGTGATGGTAAATGATACTGAATGATGTTGAATTATACTGAATGATGCTGAATGATACTGGATAATACTGAATGATACTGAATGATGCTAAATGATGGTGAATGATACTGGATGATGTTGAATGATGTTAAATG